TATATATACTCAACGAAGAGGTCATAAAATTGAGAGTGAGTGGGGGGACATGGGAAGAGTTGGAGGGGAGAGAGGGATGAGTGAAAATGATGTAAATGCAGTATTCATATATGAAAACAAAAAGAAAGAAAAAGAAAAAATTCATTTACCAAATATCACATGCTGATGGCAACATTCTGACTTCAAAGCCAGATATATTGTTCAGTATTCCAGGGTAGTATGCATTAAAATCAAATTTTGGAGACCGCAATGTGATATGTTATTACATATGTAAACAAGTTATGCAGTTCTGTGGGTCTATTCCTCAAATTAATTATTTTTAAATTAATCAAGAAAAGTATACAGATAGGATTGAATTATCAAAAGTATCTGGTTCTTAAAAATATCTTTGTGATTAACAGGCAGGAAGGCCGTGGTGTGGTTGCAGATGTCGTCATGAAATTTCGATCTAGTAGACGTAACAATGGAAGATCAATAAAAAACAGAATTCAATCCATTTTACAACAAATGCTGAACAATCCTGGAAATTTGGAAATAACTCCTTCAAAGGAGATAACAAGCAAGTACCATTTTTCACAGCATCTTACTTTGATAAATTTGCCAATTAAAACTCATATATCAATTAAATGAGAGGCTGACCTCATTCTTTGGGATTGAACTATCAAAACAATGTATTAAAAAAGCTAAATATAATATACAGCCTTCTAACATAAAAATTCTAGGATTTTCTTTTTTAACTTTTATTAATTGTATTTATTCTAAAAGATACTGTTTTCTTCTTAAATAAAATAATTTCACATGGGGAAAGATATATTTCATGGTGTTCATATGAAGGCAATATTTTTTTATTTTTTATATTTTTATTATTTTTATTTTATGTGTATGAATATATTGCCTGCATGTATGCAAGTGTAACATGTCTTTTTCTATTCCATTTTGAGTACTGTACATAATAAACCAAATAGAAAAAGAAAACATAGCATGAATTAAAATTCATTTCCCTTTTTTTCTTTTTAAAAAATTTTTCTTTTTATTGAATTTTTGTGATTTTATAGAACATAACTTGGTGGTATTTAGCTCCCTTCCCCTACCCACACCTCCTCTTATTACCCATGGCCAATTTAATGTGCTGTAATATATGTATATAATATTATTATATAATGGGCATATACATATATGGACTACAGAGACTAATTTGCATCCCCAAATGATCTTCACTCTGGGTCCATTCATTGGAGCCTGGTTTACCTACCAAGAGACCCATACTTGAAAAAAGACTAACTCTGACCCTTCCAGAAGCCATCTGTTGCCACAATTTCCTTAGGTTGTGTTGGCATTTCTTACCCATGTCCTCATGTCTATGCTGGGATTTTTTTCTGGTTTGAGCTTGCATGGGTCTTGTACATGCTGCACTATTGCTTTGAGTTCATTATGAGTAACTGATCATTTGTCTGGAAAAAAATCTTTCTGCCCCCTCTCCCACAATGATTCTTGAGTTTGATATAGGTGTCCTATTCAGAGATAAGCACTCAGCAGCCTCTTGTCTTTTCCATGTTGTTCAGTTATGGGTTTCTATGTTAATCACCATCTGTTAAGGAAATTTCTCTGGTGAGAGTTGAAAGATTCATTAATCTGTGGGAAAAACAGTGTCATAAGCCAGGCGTGGTGGCACACACCTGTAGTCCCAGCACTTGGGAGGCAGACGCAGGCAGATCTCTGTGAGTTCAAGGCCAGCCTGGTCTATATAGTGAGTTCCAGGACAGCTGGGCTACAGGGAGACCCTGCTTCAAAAAGACAAAAAAAAAGTCATTTTAATACAACTATTTAGTGTAAAAATATCATGTCCCTCTGTCCCATGACTTGTCTAGTCTCAGGTTGCTAAGCCTGATATCGATGTCAGGTATGGGTTCCATTCTAGGATGCAGACCTTAAATCTATCAAAGAGTACTTGGTTATATCCATATATTTGTGCCACTATTGCACCAGTGAGTATATCTTGACAGGACAGTTGTTATTGTAATTCACAGTGTTCACAGCTGGGTAAAGCTGATGATTATTTTTTTCCTTCTGATAACAAGCATAGCACCTCTCAGAACTATGAACACTAATCAGTAGAAATGAGGCTCTCAAGTCATCACCAGCTTTATTTGTTTGTTCTGTAGCTTATGTATGCAGTATCCTCAACAATGGCATCTTACCGTGCAGTTCTGTTCGGTAACCAAGAGCAGGGGCAATGGCCAGTATTGTTTCAGGGTCTCTGGGACCCCCTGGTCAACCGCTTCTAGAAAGGGAATCCATTCCTTGCATTGGGGGTTCTTTTTTCATTATCCTATGATATCTGGAAAGGGCAATGTCCCTGATTATAGAATAGCTCATTTTAATCTTTTTATGATGTATATGTATATGCTTTAAGAAGCGTCTATAATGGTAGGTTTTCATATGGCTTTTTCTAAAGACCTTACAAATGTAGGATGTTACTGTCAAATTACCAGTTTGTAGGGAGGCTATAAGGAGAGTTAATAGATGTTCAGGTTTAAAGAACAATTTAACGAGCTATCTGAAAGGTACCGTTTTCCTTTATAAAAATTATCAAAATTGAAATCTAAGAATTATTTGTGTGATATTTGTGATTTTTAAATTTTTATTGAATTTTTGTGTGTTTCATACAGAAACCATTTTTATACCCCCTTCCCCTTTAGCACTCTCCCATAGCCCTCCCCCCCCAAATGGAGTTCATATAGTCTATCATTTGTGTTAAGGCCTATCATGTAAACTTAGTGTTCCTAGAAGTCTCTTAGTGCAAGTTCATCCAGTAGGATCTAGCCAGCCTGTTTAGAGTCCCTCTGTTAAGAAGATCAGCTCTTCCTCACCCAGCAGTAATCAGCCACTAATAATTCTTTGAATAAGATTGGGGCCTGATGTTCACTTTCACAATTCTGTGCTGTGTTTTTGTCTGCTTAAGTTTCCACGGGTCTTGTACATGCTGACACCATTGCTGTAGGTTTGTATGAGAAGAGTACCAGACACCTGTAGGACTATTTCTGTATGGTCATGCGCCTCCTCCCTGGCTCTTAAAATCTTTCTGCCTCCTCTTCTCCAATAGTTCCTGAGCCCTGGGTGGTGGATTTTAATATAGAAGTCCCATCCAAGGACCCACACTCTGCAGACTCTTATTCTCTGTGTTTTGACCATTTCTGGCCTTTTGCATTTCTGGCCCTCTGTTGCCTGAGGGAGCTTCATTGATGAGAGTTGAAAGATGCATTAGTGTTCTCTTCATTCCTTGTTCTATGATCTGTGAACCTTAGGTATAGAGGTTACATCCTAAATGTGCCTGTAATTTTGTGTTTACACAATTATGCCTTAATTTAGTTTCTTTCTATTGCCCCTGGAGTATAGCTGTTTCTTTCTCCATTCTTTGTATTGCTCAAAGTAGTCTTTGAAGGGCTAGTTTTGTGGACATGTATTCTTTCCACCTATTTATGTCATGGAAGATTTTTCTTTCCCCTTCACCTATAATAGATATTTTTGCTGGGTAAATAATTCTGGGTAAAGAATTCTGGGGTGGCTTCTATGGTTATTTAGAACTTGGAATACTTTGGTCTAGGCTCTACTGGCTTTCTTAGTTTGCATTGATAAGTCAGCTGTAATTCTGATGGTTTTCCTTTATATGTGAATTGTTGCTTTTCTTCTGCAGCTTTCAGTATTTTCTTGTTCTGTACATTTAGTGTTTTTACTATGATGTGCCATGGGGATTTTTTTCTGGTCCTGTCTATTTGGTGTTCTATGTGCTTATTATATTTGTATGGGGATGTCTTTCCTTAATTTTGGGAAATTATCTTCTACAATCCTGTCTAAGATCTAGCCAATACCAGTAGCCTGAAATTCTTCTCCTTTCTCTATGCCTATGATGCATAGATTTTGTCTTTTCATGATGTCCTGAATATTCCATTCCTGAGCTTTTAAAATTTTTTCATAATCTTTGCTTGAGTGATCCATTTTTTCAACTTATCATCCAGTGTTGGTATTTTGTTTTCCATTTCATTCATTCTATTGGTGAGGCTTTTTCTTGTTGCTTCAAATTGGCTTATTGAGTTTTTCACTTCCTTCCTCATTTCTATCTGAGTTTTCATCAATATTTCTATCTCTTTTGTGAATTCTGTTATATTTAAGAGAGCAAAAAAAAGGGAAGGCTTTTAAAGTTTAGAAATAAGAGTCAGAGCCAGACCTGCCACAGACAAGGAATGTGTTCCTATATTCAAAGAACATAGCAAAGGACTGTTAAACCCTTTCACAGAATGATGGTGTCTGCCTCAAAAGGGAGAGCAGTTTGGACTTACATATAAGCTCTGCTGCACAGAGTTGCAAGAGTTAACTCCATGCCAGGGTCTGGTGACCTTGAGGGTCTCTCTCCCAAGATTATTTTCTTGGGCAGGTAAGCTGGCTTAGGGCACTAAAGAAGACAGGCTGGCTCCATAAACAGTCTCCCTCAGTACAAGGAGCAACCATTTGATAAGGCTTCAGCAAGGCCAGCCTGCCAATTTGTGGCCAGTTTGCCACTTTAAGGGATTTATGGTTATATTGCTTTCCTAATTAGAGTCATGGCTCTTCATACATTCTATCAAATTCAGTCAGAAGTTTATCCCTATTGATTTGTTTGTGTGTTCCTTAAATTTGTTGAATTTCTTGATCATGTTTATGGTTGTTCTTTTTAATTCTGTGTTCTGGTTATCTCTAGGGGGTTCTCTTTGTAGAACTCCTCTATAGGACTAGTGGAGTTTGGTAGGAACATACTGTTTTGATTTTCCATATTATTGTTTTTCCATTGTGATTTTGGCATGTGGATTTCTTTTGTTGTTTATGATTCTAATGTAAAACTCAAGCCTTCCTCTGTTGAGTTGAAGTCTGCTTCTGTTTATATTATTGGTATGCCTTGGTTGTCTTATTGGGTATGTAAAGCTGGTTGGTCTAAGTTTCAGGTTCTCCCAAAGTTTATATTGGTGGGAACTGATGGCTTCAGATCACTTACTCAGGAGCTCCCACAGAGACCCAAGTCAGGCTCTAGTCAGGTACATTCAGGCTTCCTTCTAACATCTGGACCCCTATTAGCAGACACAGGAAAATTTGAGATGTTCACTAAGAGGAGGCCTGATTTATGCACTCTCAGACAGTCTGCTAAGGTCTCAGCCCGTACTGAAGAGCAGAGAAGTCTAGCCCTGGCAAAGTTGGAGGGGCCTTGTGTGGTCCCAATGCAGGGGGTTTCACAGGGTGCAGTTTGGGGAAGCTCACTGCCACACAAGGCTGGGTCCAGGCACTCTCTGGTACTCTGCTAAGGTCTCAGCCCCTACCTTACTGTAGGGCAGAGAAGTCTAGCCCTCATGTTTGTGATCTTTGACTTCATCCTACACCACTTCCTAAAGGCAAGAACAACTCTGCCTTGTTACTTTACTTTCCTTCTATTACCCAGAATCTGATACCTAACAGATATTAAATACATATTACATGATTGAAAAAAATAAATTACTTAATAAAGGACATCCCTCTAGCTCTGCCTGCACAGTTAGCTTAAGAAGCCAGCCTTCCTCATGATGAGTTCAAGATCAAAAGGATGTTCATGACTCCAAACCTGGCCTATGATTTACTTACTACAACAGCACTCATTGTTAAAGTATTAGCTAGTTTGACTCTTGCTAAATAATCACTGTATTAGACTCACAAAGATCTGCCTTTAAAGTTCTCTAAATGCCTCCATTTCACTTCCTTAAACTCCCTTTTTTCAAAGCAATTAAAGAATAAAGCACTGCAAAACACCACTCCAACTCCATGGTCTCACTGTATCTTGAATGTGATTACTCATACATACAGTTTAAGCACCCAAACCTTACCTCTCCTCCTACATATTATGTAAGGAATAATTCCAAAAAGCTTCTCGTGTTTTTTGGGTTTTGTTCAACATTGTGCTAGATACTTTGTGCAGTTCAATAGCAGGTTCTACCACCCAGCTCATAATCCAGCTGAAGCAAAAAACATCCCAAATGCAAGATAACAGATTCTAGCATGCACAAGTCCCTGGACTATCCCACCCTAGCTCTGAAAAGAAAAATGAGAGAGGATACATCATTTAAGCACTCAGTGTGAAGTACCGTGGCCACTGCTACAATCCAGGAAAGGAAGAGGGTAGAGGATGAATAGAGTTGGAAGTATAAGATATGGAAAGACATTTGCCTGAGTAGGAGAGATGGGGAAAAGCAAATACTTTGTAACAAACATGATACTTTGACAGAACTATGCAACTGCTTGAATAACAGATTTGGACTGGACATGGTGGTGCATGCCTTTCATCCCAGCACTCAGGAGGCAGAGGCCAATGGATCTCTCTGAGGTCAAGGCCAGCCTGATCTACATAGAAAGTCTCAGGCTAGCTGTGGCTACAGGAAGATCCTGTCTCAAAAAGACCAAAATAAATAACAGATATGAGGTTTTGCCATCATCCTCAGCATTGTCATCAAAGCATCACAGCATCTTTGGGGCCTTCACTCCTCTTCACAACCATATCCCACAGAGCTCTTACTACTCCATGTCTAAAGGAGAGACAAATGCTGAGGGTCAAAGGGTCAGTAGGCACAGTTAAATTCAAATGCTAAGCTTTACTGTTCAAAGAATAAAAACCAATGATCAGCTTCTTCTTTATTTTTTTTTCCTCCTGTGTTCAACAGGATAGCATTTCTCTACTGATGCTTACAAAAGCAAGTGTAACACACAGTAGCTCCTAGCTGGAAATAACTTCACATAAACAGGTTTTAGAGTGCATGGAATGTGTCTCAAGAAGTTTAGCTTTTTAATAAAAATAAGTCTTAAAAGCAGGAAGGCTGAGAGATTGTTCAGTGATTAAGAGTACATAGTGTGATGGCTCATAACCACCTGTAATTCCAGCTCTAGGGGGATCCAGGACCTATGACCCCCCACATGCCCACACACAGATACACAAAGTACAAGTAATTAAAACTAGTAAAAAATAGGGCTGGAGAGATAGCTCAACAGTTAAGAGTACTGACTGTTCTTGCAAAAGACCCAGGTTCGGACCCCAGGACTCACAAGGCGAGTAACACTATCTGTAACTCCAGTTCCAGGGGCTCCAGCACCCTCTTATGTCCTCTGTGGGCACTGCATAACATGAGTGCATTTACATACATGCAGACATAACACTCATAGATATAAAATAAAAATAAATAAATAATTTTTAAAAATATTAAAAATCAATCCTTTTTTAAAATTAGTGCTTTATCTTATAGAAAATAAGACTGAATTCTCGCTAAAAAGTTTCAGTTATGAGAGGATACAATCTGACTTGGTTTCAGAAAAGATCATTCCTGTAAAGCAAGATGAATGAACTGAAAAAGTACAAAAGTGACAAGGGAATCGGTTTGGAGGTAACGTCAAACAATAAAAGCATGGAGTAACAATGAGGCTAGTTCAAAGGGTTAGAAGTTACACAACCTGAAGACACTAAGGTGAGAGAATGATTAAAGGAAAATTGAGACAATTTCTAGCTGCCCAGCGATATGGTGTCAATTACTAAATGAGGAAATATAGCCTAAGTAGCAAATCATAGATATTGATCACACTGAGTTTGAGATGACTATTAAACATGCATAGAAAACTGTCCCAAACACAAACCTTAAAGTGGAGAAGACCAATTGTCACTATCCAATGCTGACACAGTTTTCTTTCCCTGTACTCCCAGCACCTCTGCTTGTAACATATGCACTAGTCCTGTTGATCACTGTAAAACACACACCTTAACATTTCTGAGCATTGTGACCATGGTACCTCCATTTAGAATGCTTTTTCCCCTCTTGTCTGCCTAAAATATTCCTTTGGACTGCAAAGCCACATACAATTACCATTTCCTTCATGATGACTTCTGTGACTCTCCTGGTAATAGTGTTACCCTTTTCTCCTCTCTGCTCTGCATTTGAATTTATTTGAATGATTTCCTGATTGATATCTGTCTGTAAGTGATGTGTTGGCTGAGCCTCTGTATTTTGTTAGCTATTGGAGGTGTAGCACATAGAATACTATCAGCAAACTCACATACACATACACCTATGTAGATTTATAGGCATAGTTGAAAAAATGACAGATCATCTTCTTTACAACAATTTTCACATTGCATCCTAATGACTTCTTAATGCCTCTCTTTTCCAACAAAAATGAGTGCCTTGAGAGCAGAGAAATCTTTTAGGCATTTCATGAAAAATATAAGCACAAACTTTTGCGTTCACAACAACAAACTGGGGAGAGGTTATAAAGAGAGGTTTCTGGGGCACATGACTCAGAGGTTTTTTCCACAGACTTGAGGCGGAGCCCAGGAACCTGCATTTCAGCAAACCCTCCCAGTGACTATGATGCTAGCCGTATTGCACATTAAGAAATCAAGGTGAAATGACTTTCTGCTCGCATTTCGTTGATCTTATTTTCACTCTTTCTTTCTTAATGCTAGCACTCACTGGCCAGGATACAGAAAATTTTTTCACTCAAGGTAAGTGTTTCAATCATTTTATAAATATTGCTTGTCAAAATACCAGGATATCAAGTGTGAGTCTTTTGTGTTCTTTTCAACACCATATCTTTGAAGTCAGTGCCTTTATTCTAAGCTTATTCTGGGTTCTCATTGACAGAAGACACTTCTTTTCCCACTGGCACATGGAGAATGTTGAAGCTATTTCTCTTCCTTCTAGAAAAGGAAATGGAGGCTCAGTGGCATACAACTCATTCATCACTGGCCTCATGGAAATTTTCTTGACAGTTTTAAGAAGATTTTGCTGTCTTGATTCTGTATAGCATTTCTATAGACTTATAAATTATGCCTCATGAAATTTATGTATCTTTTTCTAACCACCAGAAGAGTTTGCTTTATTGTGGATTCAGGTTAATCATAAGGTAGCAAATTATGAACAGTCTTGTCAGTTTGGGGTCTATAACCCAAAGAGAAAGCTGTGTTCTAATGTCACCAATATTTAAGCTCAGATTAGGATGGCAGACATATAATCCCTAGAAACATGAAATTTACCTCTCACATCAATCCAATGTAGTCAGAAATTAGTTCCATGTACCTGAACTGCTGACCTATTTTTGATACTTAAGTGATTTTGCAAGGTGATATTACCCTTACCAGATGTCTTTCAATTACATTCTACATTTAATTCATAATTATTTTGAACAAAACTGTACTCAAATCATTCATTAGGGATTTTATTTAGAGTAGGCAACAAAGGAACCTATGTTCCATGTATATTCTTTTATTAAAGTTTTTACTGAATTTTTGTGAATTTTGTACAATATATTTTGATCATATGTAAACCCCCCATCTGCACCTAACTTTATTGCCCCCACTGCCTGATTTCAAGTACTACTCCATTTTATATATGTACACACACATATATATGTATATATACATACATACTTTTTAAAAGTCATATTGTGTCAAATTTGTGTCCCCAAGTGCCCTGCAGTGTGAGTCCATTCACTGAAGCCTGGTTAACCTACTCAGAATCACATCCTTAATATATTCTTATGGAATATAAGAATATATATGAGGTGGTTGCCAAGACAGCAATAGAAATTTCTGTTGGTGATATGTCCATGGGTTTCTTAAGACATTTTTAAAAGTCCATATACTAATTTTGTTTATTATATTGTGTGTGTGTGTGTGTGTGTGTGTGTGTGTGTGTGTGCGTGCACTAGTACATGCGCATGGAAGGGAGTCAGTTCTCTCCTTCCACCAGGATCAAATTCAAGTTTTGGACACTTGGCGGCAGGCACTTTACCTGCTGAGCCATCTCCCTGGCCATAAATCTGTATTCTAGGAATATAAACCTTCTGTGACAGTCAGTGGCCCTACAGCACTTCCTTTCAAAGGTGCATACTTTGCATAGAGTCAAGCTAAGAAGATTAGAACCTCCGTGATGGACTACCAAACCACTCAGGAGGCTTCTAGAAGACAGTTTTCATTCAACTTCAATATATGTTTAACCTGCTTCAAACAGCTTCGATTTGTTCCCCATGTTAGTCTGAACATAATTCCAACAAACTTCCAGAAGTAACCATTTTGCAGGGCCACAGTTCATATCATTGTGCATCTACTGAGAAAAAGGAAACCTCCTGGAGTTTATGGTCTGAGCCAGCACATCCAGCACTGACTGAAGTTGGTCCACACTCTTGAACGATCTTAGACCACTCTGAACCAGCTTCAGAATTTGATGTGCTGGTGCCAATCAGCTTCAAAAATATGCTCTACAATACAGTCTATATGCACACCTATACTCTAAAAAATATAGCATATTGAGCCAGGTGTACTGGTACATACCCATAGCACTAGCACTTGGGAGGTGGAGGCAGGACAATCAGGAGTTCAAGGACATCCCCATCTATATAGTAAGTTTGAAGCTTGCCTTGACTACACGTGATCCTAAATAAATAAAAAAAAAAAACACTAGTCATCTAGTCATGCTTTTTGGAAAGTTTAGCCTGTCTTGGAGAAAAAAGACATAGAGATCACAGACTATGATGAAGCTCTGAAGCTCTACAGGAATTTTCCAAATGGAAATGAAAGATCACCTTGCCAGCATGTTAATACCCTTTTCTTGTTAGAATGTGGAGCCCGTCCAGACCTTATAACACTGTCAGAAGAGAGAGTCATCGGAGGCACTCTGGCTGAGGAAGGTGACTGGCCATGGCAAGTCAGTCTGCAGCTTAATAACGTCCACCACTGTGGAGGCGTCCTGATCAGTAACTCCTGGGTCCTGACAGCAGCTCACTGCTTCAGAAGGTGAGGCTGCAGCCACCCTCCCATCTGAGAATAATTAGTATATATATATATATGTGTGTGTGTGTGTGTGTGTGTGTGTGTGTGTGAAGACTCCACCCACTACCCCCAGAACTAAACATAATTGAGTTGACACAGAAATAGTTCAATGGAAAATATTCCTGAGTCTGTTCTATTCATAGAAACAAAATTGCCTTTTCTCTTTTACTTACTAATTTACTGGCCATTCTCTGTTTCAGGTAACAGTATACCATAACAGCAAAGAACAAAGTTTTATACATCAAAATACTTAGTATAAATTCTAGTTATAAGCATTTAGGAAATTTATTCAGCTTCCTTCTGTTTTCAAATTACGGGCAACACTAAGTGTTAGTATTCCTGATAGGATTAGTTGCACTCATGTGAATAAATGTTAAAGTTTTGTTGTGGAGGATTTTCACAGTATATCATGGAAGCTAGTCAGTAGGGATGACCTAGAGACTACATAATTCCAATAGTTTTTTTTCCAAATTTGAATGAATACTTATATTGAACAATATTATGTATTATGTATTATGAAGCAGCAAACCCAAAGCACCATCACTGCCCTCAGGGTGCTTATATTCTCTTGATGGAGCTAAAACACATTGAATAAATTATCACTTATAGTATTATAAAGAAAATAAATTTAGACAACTTAAAACTAGACTACTGGAATGACTAAAGACTATGTTCTCTAGTTGAGTGACCAGTGGAAAAAGTTTGTATAAACTTATCCTATCAATATAAGGTAAAAGTTACACTGCTCATAATAGAAAGACTTCAGAGTTCAACATGATGAAAACCTTTTAGTTTCAGACCTACTTTTGACAGGGGCATCCTAGACATCCAAATTTTTTAAAACTAGACTACTGGAATGACTAAAGACTATGTTCTCTAGTTGAGTGACCAGTGGAAAAAGTTTGTATAAACTTATCCTATCAATATAAGGTAAAAGTTACACTGCTCATAATAGAAAGACTTCAGAGTTCAACATGATGAAAACCTTTTAGTTTCAGACCTACTTTTGACAGGGGCATCCTAGACATCCAAATTTTGGGGAACCTGAACTCAAAAAATTCACCCAAAAAAGTGATAATGAATTCAGGTACACCCCTATTTCTAGTCTTTCCTCACACTTTTTGAATTACTAAAATATACCATACTTATACACCCAAAGCCCCAGCCCCAGTCAAATTAATCCAAACTCATTTCCCAAGGTTTGTATCCTGAGCTCCAGGATAACAGCATTGTTCTCTTCTTTCAGACTCTGTCTACATTTCCCCAGCCATGAGCACTGCTCAAAGAGCTCATTCTCCTTAAAATGTTAATATCCTTTCCAAATCCCCATTTCATTATAATGGAATTATTTAAATCTTCTCAATTTCTAAGAAACGCTATTCAACTTTGAGAGCACTGTCTTTTATTACAGTGCATTTTTACAAAAATGCTTAATAAACATTAGTAAGACAGATTCTGAACAGAGGTTCTTGGAAACCTTTGTTTATTCTATTTTTACTCTATTTTGATTTAATTTTTAACTCAAATTTTATGCATGATGAATAAATTTAAATTTTTATTTTAGAGATACTCCTAAAATCATATCATGCCTAATTTAGACAGGCAGATTTACTCTTGTATCTCAGGTAACTAGAGAAACAAAATTCACAAAAAACAATTCAATCATAAAAGCCACTGGATTTGCCGAAGAGCCAAAATGGCAGTGATAGATTTCAATCACCCTGAGTGCACAAACCAATGATGTAAATGGCTGAACTTAGAGGCATTTAGCATATCAGAGAAAATAATAGAAATAGGGCTAAGTTATGCATCCTATTTGAACCCAGTTACCAAAAGCTAAGTAAAGGATGCCACTATCAAGAAAGGTACAATTACAAATATCAGCAAGTGATTTGCTAGGTTCAGGAAACATATTTTGAATTTGCCACCACAAATCTACATTGATACCATGATGAAATGACTAAGGCTGACAAACTACATGGACCATGTATTGATATGCTCCCTAATAATCTCATTGTCATTGAGAACCACCAGCGGGAATTTGTTGGGGGCATCGCCAGCTTTATGCCCAGGCACACAGAAGGGATGAAGCTCTACAACAGATTATTCTTTTGTCATCTCCTCTATGACTCTTTCACAGAAATTTCCTTATTTTTCACAGTAATTGTGTTTTCTGATACTAATCTCTGTCAATCTCCTCTACTAGCGTGTTAAACTCCTTAAGGATAGAGACTATAATTGTTTAGACATTTATTCCCAAATTGGGCTACAACTGGTGAAAATTATAGCTATGTTCATTAAAAGCTCACTTTCTTTGTTCTAACCACTATGCTTGACACACCTCCCTTATTTCTTCAAAGTGGCAAACCCTTATTATCATCAGTATGCATAAGACCTCTGCCAATCCATATTTTTTTCTCCTCCCATTCTTGGATCGCACTTCCAACTGCCCTAATTTTTCTGGAAAGATTTACTGGTCCTAATAATCTGAAATATGTCTTTCAACACGTACATACCTGCAAAACCTATAGAGCTGTGTGTTTTCACCTAATCTTGGTAATCACCATCTCTTTGACCACTACTGCATAGGAATCTATCATGTTCATCTCATCTAACTAAGTTGCTTTAACTTCCCACTACTACATCAAACACATCCCTCAACTCACATGTGTATACACACACAGTAAAATTTCTACGTGTATTTCTTTAAATCTTTTGGGATTTTTCTGACATGTACTCAGAAGTAGATATTCAGTTTGATTAATAGACCATAAAGCTTTTCAAATGTTTAATTTTTCCAGTAATACAAAACGAGATCCAGCTTTCCTCTTGACCAACACTTGATATTATACTCTTGATTAATTTTTGTCATTCTTGTTAATATACGTTAGATGCTCACTGTTACAATGTTTTCTTAATTACCAGTGAATTCAGTGTCTTGTCTTATATTAAGAATGTTCATGCCTCCCTTCACATGAAGTCCCTATTGATAGGCCTTGTCCATTCTACAGTAGCTTTCTAGTCCATGTATTATTGGTTTAGAGATACCTTTGTATAGGCTTCAAAAGTTTTATATATTAGCCAGAAACAGCAGCAGTACACTTCCAGCACGTGGAAGGCAGAGTCAGGAAGATCAGCAGGATCTGGGCCATGCTGAGCTACAGTAGACTGTGGCTCAAAAAAAATTTTAAATATTAAGCATTATCCATATTTTCTCAGGATTTTTTATTCACCTGAAAAACTTGTCTGTGTTGTTCTTAATTTTGATTTAATAAAATTCATCTACTTTTTACCTTATAGTATGTGTTTTAGAGTTTACCTAGAAAGTCCTAATTCTGCAGTCATAATGACAATTTCCTATATCTTGTGTTAGTTCTCTCTCTCTCCATATGTACGTACATACACACATACATACACATATATGCATATAACATTCATCAATTTAGAACAGAAAAATAATTTGCATATTAATAAGTAGAAAATAAGAATGGCCCTTAGCATCACTATTATTTAAATAATGTTTTCTTCCCAAAACAAAAGGTAAGGAAAAAAATAAGAACCAAAAGGAATGAGGTAAAACAAGAAAAGATCATTACATCAGAATTCTTAGTTACTTGGATGGGAGTGTAACGAAAAGGGAGAGAAAAAGATTTATGCTTGTGCTAGTTATTATTAAAGTATTAGAATATGTTCATTGGAATAGAAGAAAGTCAAGATAGTTTCTCACCCCAAGACATGTTTCTAAAAATGTTTCTCTGTATTTTTAGACAAACGACCATTCATTCTTCCAGTAAGGAATTCAATGCAGTTATGAGCTTATGATGCAGAAAAGTATAACAATGAGTTGTTGGTCACATGGTTCCTAGTTGGGGGAGAGGTAGCAAATACAAAGTACAAATATATGATGTGCTAGTGAGTTTCTTATTCAAATAGCATGGTTTTATATATTTTTAGCTACTCCAATCCTCGGCAATGGACTGCCACTTTTGGTACTTCTACAATATTTCCTCTACAGCGAGTGAAAGTAAGAAGTATTATACTCCATAACAATTACAGACCCATAACTCATGAAAATGATATTGCAGTCGTACAACTTGAAAGACCTGTCACCTTTACCAGAAATATTCACAGAGTGTGTCTCCCAGAGGCAAAACAAAGCATCATACCTGGCAGCACTGCATATGTAACAGGATGGGGCTCTCTTACTTATGGAGGTACGTGTCTCAGGAAAAATAACAATTTAACAAGAACAAAATATCCTATTGTTTGTTACTATGTAATTTGTTTTGCTTTTGTATTTTTGACACGAGGTCTCATTTTAACCCAGACTGACCTGGAACACACTATGTAGCCCGGCCTGACTCCAAACTCATAATCCTCATACTTCAGTCTCCAAAGTGCTAAAATCACAGGCATGTACCACCATGTCCAGCTTTATAAATTCTCAAATTAGGAAACATCCAGAGGACAGTTTCCATACAAAAAAAAAGAATATTTATATTCTGGTCATCCCTAAGATATAGCTAGCCCTGCGTTTCCTCAAGAATACATAGTAAGCAATACTCTTAGAGACCATTGAAAATGCTCAAACACAGTAACAGGGAACTGTAAAAGAAAGCAATGAAGAAACATAAGTTCTTTAATACACAAAGTCTATGGGATTCAGATTGCTTTTCTGTGAAGAAAAGGAGACTTGAATAGATATTACTTAAGGATGTTAACAATCCTTAAGATACTATCTTTAAGTTACTCTAGGGTGAAAAGAATCCCTCCTCCTTGCATAACCATTGATCAAACTTGTTCATTGAATGGGTAAAATGGAATGTGAAATAAAGACAGTGTTAATAAAGACATTTAGAGTCTGAGAGACAATAACAGTATCACCTGGGAAAGCTGACCATTTCCCTGGGGCTTTACAACCATGGTGCTGATTATTTCTCTAGGGACTAATACAAGGTTTTATTCATCTCAGGAAATCTTGCATTGTGTCCTTTTGACCAAAATTAACTTGGCATAATACATAAATTTTGTACCAGTCATTAAAAATTATAACAGTGCTATTTTGAGGGAACATTAATATCAAATTGATTCATTCTTTAATCTTGATACCAGACTGATCCCCCCTGCCATTTGCTTCTAAAGTTTGATCTGTGTGTAGTTTTTCAATCCAAACTCCATAGTGGATATCTCAAATAGCACAAGTCAATTTTTAACAGGATAAACTTTTTTTGAGTATCATGTAGCCCCAAACTGGCCTCAAATTCACTACATAGCTGAAGCTGGTCTTAACCTACCTTCACCTCCTAAGTGTGAGATTACAGACATTTGTCACCACATCCAGCAATTTATTTATTATCTCTAAAAACATAAGGCTAATAAACCACAAAACTAATTAGCCAAAGGAAAAAAAAAAAAGATGAGCAACTCACCTCCCTAAGGGACCATCTTTTCTTTCCTAGGGAATCTGCTAAGGGGAAACTTACAATGCAACTTCTGGTGCCTTCTGTCTAAATAGAGAATAATGATTGGAGCATATTTATTCATTCTCAAATTCAGCACAGAATCATCAATTCATATATTTTGAATTCTACTTCATTTCTGATTTCATATAAACTAGGCAACACAGTCACAGATCTACGGCAAGGACAGGTCAGAATAATAAATACAAATGTATGCAATGAACCAGCTAGCTACGGTGGTGGCGTCTTGTCTGGAATGCTCTGTGCTGGAGTGCCTTCAGGTGCAGTGGATGCATGCCAGGTAAGTGCACCACAGCCTATGAACACCATCATCTGTCTACAGGTGTTCACTAACCATGTTATCCTGTGACAGGCATAAAACTAACAATGAAAGTACACAGCTCTGATCCTCTAAAAACTTATGACCTAAATTTTATAGAGAAATTTCTCTCATGAATTTAATCTCTCATGAAAATATCAACTTTTAATTTTTAATTGCTATGAATGGCTAAATAAAACGATATTTTACAGCATGGTCAACAGAGTTAATAATAGAGTACTGTACTTTCAAAATTGCTAAAGAATAAATTTTGAATGTTCTTACTACAAAAAACAATGTTATATTTAGAATAAATTTTGAATGTTCTTACTACAAAAAACAATGTTATATTTTTGAAATAGTAGAAATGTTAGCTAGCTTGATTTTATTAGTTAACATTGTATCCATAAATCACAGAAGCATTTTCTATGTTATAAATATACATTATTGTCATCAAGTCACAAGAAAAATAATTATTTAAGGTTGATAAATAATACCTAAACTTTAAGTTACATTATTTTCTTTGTAAGCACTCCTCATTCTCCGACCAATTCAAAAAATACTCTCATCCACAACCATCAAAGAAATCTAATTTTTGAGGATAGAAAATTTTTATAAAAATCTTAATTATTTGAATAACAGGATTTTCTAAATTGTATAATAGCAGGAAAGGAAAGAAAAAGACATCTAGTTTATAATTTTTAAGCAAATATATAAAAGCAAGCAATAAATGCGAAATTCACACCTTCTAGTAATTAGAATAATATTTAATATCAAAATTGTAATTAAATTATTTAAACTTAAAAGGATCATTCCTTTGTCTGAAATTCAACCCCAAGCAAAGAGCACCAGAAATTAAATATTACTGTAAATATTCTGTTTTCTTCAGGAATCTGCTACTGCTCCCCTGGAGAACTGTATGCAACATAATAAGGTTTATTCTTCACATAAAATGTTACTGACTTTCCTATTTGGCACTCACTATCTCGAAAAGGTGGAATGAAAGAGTACTTCAATTATACTAAGACCCCAGTCCAGAAATGCTTTCCCCAAAGGAAACATTTTTATCAACTTCAAGTTGAGATTTGTTTCTCAATTTGAAGAAACAAGTAGAGATTTGTTTCTCAATTTACAAGATACTGCTGTTTATCCACTTAGTTCTTTCTGCCCTTTAAGTGGAGATGTTTCTTTGTTATGCAGCACTTCTCACCTTCCTATAACAGCAAATTCTCAAGTTTCGTGACAGTTTTTTTAAAGAATTCATCAGGCAAATAACACAGACTGACAATTTCAGATCTACTGCATATTAGGTAGAGCTGGTTTGCAATAATGGGATTTAAAAGGTTCTTTTCCAGCTCCATTCAGTCATGCTGTCCCATATCTTCTATACGTGCTTAGTCTGCCCTTCCTTCATGCCACATCAAGACCAAGACACCACTATCATAAAACCTTCTCCTACAGTCCAGACCTTACTGATCCTCAGTTGAAACACTAGCACTTAGAGTTTGTCCCTCAGAAAACAAATAAATAGTACTCTACATAGGAGTTTCCAAGATCCATTTCTTTTATTTTTCATTCAAGTGTTCATTTATAAGTGCTGTATTTATTAGCGCCTATGCATCACTCACTGTGTTGTTTTGACAAGGTATTCCCTTCACTGAGCAGGTCTATGGCTGAGAAAAGAGAAATGATTTTAGTTAAGCAATAAAATTGGCTGGGTATAAGAAAAGTTACATGGTACTTAGCAATCAATTGTTCATTCACTGTTGATAAAACACAACACAGAAAACACTGTTAGCATAGAAAAAGGGAAAAAACACGATGACAGAAAATACTGGGGACTAGTTAAATGGTGCGTGCAGGCATCATCCAAGGAATGAGGTGCCAGTCAGAACCATGTAGTACTTTTCATGTGAGTTGGTGATTCACACACTGACCTTTCTCTCCATCTAAACCATTAATTAAGTTGGTATGGAAAACCTAACTACTAAGAGTAGTCAAATGAATAGCTAACTTTTCTAGACATACATTTGGTAATAATAGCTGACTTTTATTAGTACTGAGTATATGCCAGGTTGTACCTAAAGTGCTCTTGTGTTAAGGTCACTAAACTCACGAAAACACTGATGAGAGAATTGCAGCATGGAGAGTTGTTAAATAGCTTACCAAAGCCCACATAACTGATAAACAGATTCAAACCCAGGTTTATCTAGCTGCAGAACCCACAGAATTAACCCATCACACAGCATGTTCTAAATTTATTGCCCTAGCTATATTATTACATTTATGTGTTTCTTAGTTGGTCAGTTATTGTAATTGGCTGGTAAATAGCTCATAAAGAGTGCTTTACTTGCTATCATACAAATTTCATTTCAATTATTCACCAGAAGAATGCTGGTAGATAATTTACTATGCATCATGCTGGATAGTAAAATGGTAAGGTAAGTGACTTTATAAACTCATTCGAGAGATATTTCCTTAGCATCTCTTATGGTGTGATAACCAAGGTTGCAGCAATGTCCAAAATAAGCATGCTCCCTTCTCTGACATACCTTGGAATAGCACAGTGGAAACAGACACTAGCCAAGCATCACAGATACAGTGAGGGACAGGCAGCTGCTAAAAGGAGAGGGAACCAGTGGAAGAACAGGCACATAAACAGACCTTCATAAAACATGGAAGAAGCAGTGACATAGATATACAGAGTGTATGGAAACACAATGAGGAAGCAATATAGCCCAAAGTCAGAACTACAAAGGACAGCAGTGGGTTACAGAAGACTTCTTGGGGCAAGCAAAGTCTGGGATGAGTAGTTGGCAACTAGAAAGTAACAGAGGAAACGCTGGGTAATGTGCTTTTAATCCTCTTCTCAGCCTTACTGAAGAGACAGCTTGCATACTTGAAGAATTTCAGGAATAGTTTGCATGACTTAGCATACTTCAAAAAGACACAAGCTGATACAATGGTTATGAATCCCTCTGCCACCATCAAAATAAACTGAAGATTTCAGGGTTGTTTTGTATTTAAGTAATGAATCATTTTGTCTTCTCCAGGGTGATTCTGGTGGTCCACTAGTACAAGAAGATTCACGGCGGCTTTGGTTTGTTGTGGGAATAGTGAGCTGGGGATATCAGTGTGGCCTGCCAAATAAACCAGGAGTGTATACTCGAGTGACAACCTACCGTGACTGGATTAGACAACAAACTGGAGTCTAGTGCAATAAATGCATATATGCCACAAAGTCTGTATGCAAGTGTGCCTGTTTTCAGAACTTTCAAAGTTTTCCTTTCAACAGGGAAAGAAGCCAGAAGTGTCCCATTCTAACGTCCAATTCATTAATATGGTTAAACAAGCACTATTTAATCTTTCTTAATCGCTATGGATTTTCATTTTCTCAAAGAAAATTAGATGAACATTTTATAGTACTATGTCTATATAACAGAGGAAATCTATTAAGTGAGCTATAGAGTTAGCAATTTTATCACAGTTGTGATAAGTGCTGGTAATGGGAAAGGGGGTGCCTTGATAGTAAATTCTAGAGGAAACTAGACAAGTAGAAAGGTCTAGACAGGTGTTGTCTGAAGAAGTGTCATTGAAGTGAGCAAAATAAATATGCAGAAGTTGCAGAACAGCATGAATGAAAGAACAGTGTAAGGCAAGAAAAAGTATTTCTTTAAAATGTATGAGTACTCAATATTTTTAAGATGTATAGGTCCTAAAATTAAAAATGTCAAGCTATTGTAGTGTCCAATAGCAACCTAATTTTCTCAGAAGAATGTGTTCCTATGGGCGCTCTGGAGGTACATTCAGGTACTTAACATCAAAGCAAAAATAGTTTAGTCCTCAAGTGAAACCAATAGATATACAAATAGTTTTGATGATGGCTGTATGTCTTAGTTTGTTCTTCATTGCTGTGACAAAATACTCTGACCAATACCAACTTGGGGAGGAAAGGGTTTATTTGTCTTACATCTCCCAGGTCGCAGTTCATCAGGGAGCCCAAGGTAGGAACTCAGGGCAGGAACCTGGAAGCAGGAGCTAGAGCACAGGCCAAGGAGGAACGCTGCTTACTGGCTTGCTCCCCTGGCCCCTGCTCAGCTTGCTCTTAACCAACACAGGCCCACCTGCCCAGGGGTGGCACCACCCACAGTGGGCTGGGCCCTCCCACATCACTCATCAAGAAGATGCCCCTCAGACATGGCCACAGGCCAGTTCAATAGAGGCAATTCCCCAATTGAGGCTCCCTCAACCCAGATGTGTCAAGTTGACACTAAAGCTATCCAGCACACTGTAATATTAAAATGTTTTACCTACATGAAGGAGATGTAGCTCCCTAGAATGGCGGAGGCAATGAATTTACACAGCTTTTTTGGTTGCCTTTACAACCACATAATGCTCCTTGACAGTAAACAGTGGTAATTTTAATAGCTAAAGATTTGTTAAGAAGAAATTCCCACTACTAACGTCCTACCATTAGTAGTTCCTTTTTTTATAGTAAAATTACCCTAAATCCTGAAATATAAGTAGTAAATTAAAGTTAGTGATTAGGGGCTTAAAAATTGGTTTGCAAAGAGGAAGACAGAAAAACATCAACTAAACTATTCTGGAGACAGAGGATCTCAGAGTCTCTCTCTCTCTCTCTCTCTCTCTCTCTCTCTCTCTCTCTCTCTCTCTCTTCCTCACACACACATCCACTACCACCACTACCACCACTACCACCAAAGTTTACAGATCAAATAAAATTAACTAAAACTTAATGCCTGTGTACCATTCCCCATCAAAGAAAACTTCCTCATGCAACAGATGATTAACCCCAAAAGCCACAATTAGCCAAACTCCAGAAAATAAAAGACTGCAGAGAACTTATCCATGAATAGATCATCTATATCAAACCTCTGCCACCCAAGGCTCAGTGACCATTGTGGAAGAGGGAGTGAAAAGACTGTAAGAACCAGAGGTGATTGATGACCACAGGGAAACAAGAGTTTTCCAGACATCTGGAAAGTTACTTATACGAACTTACGCCAATGGTCACAGCATGCACAAGACTCACACAGACTCAAACCAGACAAAATCCTAGCACAGAAGTGGGGAAGCAAGATGCCCCAACCTTAGCTGAGGAACTACTGACAACCAATAATTACTGAGGGAGAGTTAGTTTTCTTCAAGAGTGTGATGCTAGAGAGGCTATCTAGATTCCACTGGATGAATGCACACTGAAGGACATTGGAGGACACAAACTCAGCTCAATAGGCCTTAACATATATGACAGAGTACATAAAATTAGGCATGGGGGCTACAAGAGGGTTATAGAGGTGTCTAAATATGATCAAAATATGTTTTATAAAATTCACAAAATTCAACATAATTTTTTTTTATTTTTAAAAATAAATAAAATCTAATGCCCCAGTAATCTACATATCTGAATCACAAATTTTCCAGGTTTTTATGCACTCCCAGTAGAGCTAAAGCCTGATTGCGCATTATCATCTATGTGTCAGGGCTTCCTCCTAAAAGCTAACTCCCTATGCATGGAGATCAGAAAAGTTTAAGACACTTCTATGAAAACATTTTGCACTTCCTGAAGTAAAATTGTGAGAATATCTGCATTAAAGCAGTTTATTTTTACAGATATTTGAAAATGTAACCAACTCAGTAAGATGTATACACAGATCACTGGTACATTTTATTTCAAATAAAATTTTCTATAACTTTTTTCTGCCTAATTGCTTACAGAAGTTATGATTGCTGAAGGATGTTCCAAAACAATTTATTTAATTGGTTGTATAATAAGAGAACTTCCAACCAGACTCTAAAGCCTGGGCACTTTCTGCCACCTTATAATCAAGCTCTATAACTAAGGTAGCGTCCAGCTTGACACTCCCAAGTTGCATCCTGTGAAGACAGTATTAAACTAGTAATTTAGAGCAAGCCTCAAAAGGAGGGTGTCTGTGTATGAATGTACTTGTATATTTGTATGTGGGTGTACACATGTCATCACATAACAGACATATTTATGTTTATTCCTATATGTTACAAACTACTTCAAAGATAACACTTTTTAGCAGGAAATAGAGAAAATTCATCAAAATGACAAAATATTATTTAGCAAAATATGTTTTTATGAAGATATTTGAAAATGAAAGGAACACATACATGCTTATTAATAAAACTCTTTTTCATTACCAACAGATTTCACTTTACAGACATCAAATGACTTCATGAAACTATAAATATTTGTGAAGGCATGGTGATTTATAATTTTTTGCAGTTCTTATGAAATATTTATGAATTCTTCCAGAAATGTTCCAGGATGATAACTGAGTTGCAGAGTTATTAATGCCAAGAAAAGCCAATTCAGTATATACAATAATACATAATTACCAATATTTAATGACAAAAAAGTGAATAGTTGATATTCAAACGAGGGTTAAAATGAACAGAACCAATGAAAGAAGAATAATCTAAGAAAGCTTAGAACACACAATTGACTACTTTGGACTAATTTTAAATATCAATTATATAGTATAAATTTCTCACTTAGGTAATTTATTAAGTCCCATTACCTTTCTCCATGTTCTCTACAAGGCATGGATAAAATAAAGGCAAAGGAAGCATAGTCTTTTGACACACTCAGAAAATAATGATACACATGTTATAAAATATAAGTAAAATAATGACTATCACATTTATTTTTTAAAATAAGAGTGACTATCCTAAAACTAATAGAAAATGTAATTATTTTAAAATAAAATAAAAAAATCTTCTACAGCATCAATCTGCCATAAGGCATTTTAGTTACCCTGTAGACAGAGAAAGGGGAACTGGTTATTATTTCAGAATATGAATCTAAATTTTGTGCAAGCTCTAACTTTCATTATTCATTTCCTTTTTTCTCATTTGCTAACCATGAAATTATTCAAATCCTTACCTAGATTTTTCCTCTATATTTTTTACATTTCTACACATTAAAAACATCAAACCTAAATTCTGGACCAGAGAGATAGCTCAGTGAATAGAGTGCTTGCTCTGTTTGCATGAGGTCTTGAGTTCAATCTCCAGCAGCCGCGTAAAAAGCTGAGCATATATGGGGTGCACAGGAATCCCAGGGTGCCAGCTGCTAGCGTGGCGCCAGTCCCCTGTGTGCACCTAGAGGGCAGTGGGTCCCGCAGTGCATTGCCGTGGGTCCCTGCTTCTCTGGTCTCTGTGGGTCTCTGCTACCGAGGCTGGCTCGGTCGAGTTCCGCCCCAATTTCACCCCTGCACTCTCTCTCTAAGTTCGGGGCCGTCAGCTGCCGGGTCACAAGGAGAGGTGCAGGACGGCTAAAGCTGGATTTCCGTGAGTTGATGATGCAAGGATAGCGCCCCCCCAGGAAGACTGGATCATAGGCAATAAGACAGGGGACTCAGCTTAGTCTGTGTTACAGCTCTTTATTCAATGACTCAGCTCGGCTCCAAGTCTTGGTGATCCAACTCCAATTATTGAGGAAAAACCAGGACACTTTATACCGTGGGGGTGGTAGTAAAAACCTTAGCTGATAGGTACTTTTAGGATGCCCCATTTACATGTGGCGGTAAGCTCCTGCCAGGCTGCCAGACTGCCTGAAAAATCACACAGGAAAGCCTGGCATTTCCAGAGCCGGAGGCCATGTTTCTGTGGCGGCTACTTCAAAAGACGTCAGGAAGATCCCAGAGAAGCCTCCTGCTGAAAAAGGAGTCTCTGCATTTGAATCCGAGCCCGTGGGCTTTCCAGACATGAAGAAACTGCTACTTTGCACAGCAGGAGTCCCCAACAAGCATATGGTGTGTGTTTAGAATCCTAGCACTAGAGAGACAGAGAGGAGACTCCCCGGGGCTCACTGGTCAGGCAGCCTCACTGAATTGCTGAACAAGTGAAAGATCCTGTCCTCCACCGAAAAGGTGAATGTGCCTTAAAGAACAACTCTGAGTCCTCCACATTCATGTGCACACATGTGTGTTGATACACTGCACACAAACACACATGTATACACACACACACACACACACACACACACTAACTCCTTTCTATTGCTAGACAGTTTGATAATCTTCTACAGGGAAAAGTTATTTCTGGTAGTTTGCTTCAAGAGCAGATATCTTGAAGGATGAAGTACATTTTCAAGAATGATTGTTCAGAAAAAGCTAAATGATCACATGTAGAGAAGGTGAGGAAACTTTCTGAAGCTAGCTAGATT